CTGGAGGTAGATGAGTTGGATGAGATTCATCATGTAATCGAGTCAATTTGTTAAGGCTTGATCCCTAGTATCCACTATGTTTTGAGATTAATGCTGCTATGACTTTGCTATGCTTAATACTTGTCATTAGGGCCCGAGTGCCATGATTTCAGATTTGAACCTATTATGTTTTCATAAACATATATGAGTTCTTGATCCTATCTTTAAGTTGTATGCACATGTTATTGTTCTGACCGTAGGCCACATGGATAATTGGGATACTCTCCGGAGATGACTGTAATTTGAGGAGTTCATGTATTCACTATGTGTTAATACTTTGTCCCGATTCTCTATTAAAGGGAGCACCTTAATTACCCTTCGATTTCAATTAGGACCCCACTGCCATGGGAGGGTAGGACAAAAGATGTTATACAAGTTCTTATTATAAGTACGTATGACTATATACAGAACACATGCCTACATATGATTGATGAATCGGATCTATTGTGTATTGCTCTAGGTTTTGACTATCACATGATAAATGTCATACAAATACCATCGCGACTCCATGCCTACGCTTTGCTAATATTGTCATTGCTAAGTTAGTACTACTGTTGCTGCTATTCCAGTTACTAAAAAGCTGGTACTGTCATGTTATTGCTACTACTGCTAATGTTACCGCTACTTTCAAAACCATCATATTACCGTTCTACTAATAATTCGATGCAGAGAAACAACTTCTCAGGTATGGTTGAACTAACAATGCGGCTGCTAAGGCTTATAAATATTACTTGGCTCCCCTTGTGTCGAATCAATAAATTTGGGTGAAATACCGCCCTCGAAGACTGTTGTGATCCCTTATACTTGTGGGTCATCATGGCATGATATAATGCTCATGTTAGATGTTTACCGTGGTGTAACTAGAATCAAAGTGGGCAATGGTAGTACAGTGCTCTTTTGGAAGGATTTGTGGCTTGACCATACCCTTATGGACTCGCACCTGAGAGCTCTCTCATATGCTAGGGATGAGGATGTCTCAGTTCAAGCCCTTCTAAAATCAAGCACTTTCGCCCAAGCTTTCCATCTGCCTCTATCGACATAGGCTAGAGATGAGTCCAGATCAACTCAGCTTTCTGACTGCTGGGGTGGATCCTAGTAGCGCCTTACTTGATGCATGGAAATGTGATTGGTGCAACAATGGTCTTGCTCTAGCAAGTTTTATTCTCATTGCTTCAAATATGTCCAAGCCGATGTATCCTTCTCCTGGATTTGGCAATCTAAATGCACTAACAAGTGGAAGGTTTTTGCCTAGGTTCTTCTGGCAGATCGCTTAAACACCAGAAACATGTTACGCACACGTCACTATGTATTGACCGACAACACCTACAGCTGCCTACTGTGTACAAACCCACCCGAGGAGACTATGGCTCATCTGTTCTTCAAATTCCCCTTCATGACAAACTGTTGGAGCTCAATTGGTTTGACCTAGTCGAACTAGGATTGTAGACTTGTTGTGATGCATGATGGGAGATCTAGGTGGGGAAGGCCTCTCTTCGTGGAGATACTTATCATTGTTGCATGGGGGGTCTGGAAGGAAAGAAACAACCTGCACTTTAGAGGGGTTGCACCATCACTTGACTCATGGATTGGCAGGTTCAAAAAGGATCTTTCTATGATGGTGCACAAAACCAAGGATAGTCTCCATCCTTTTATTCACGTCTTTGTACCCTCCCTTTAGTTATTGTCCCTTCTTCAGACTTGTAAATCCAGTGTTGTATTGCTCTGCTACTTACCCTCCCCCCCCCTCTTTGCTTTGTACATATGTAACCTTGACTAACTGACTACTAATATAAGGTCAGTGGCAGCCTCTCCCACTTTCATAAGTGCTAAAAAAACAAATAACCATTAGAAAAAGAAGCAACTGTCCATATGACATGAGAAGGGGAGTGATCCCTCTCAAACCTGCAGAACTCAACATTCTAGAATTTCAAGGAGATGACACTGAACATTGGATTCAGAGAATTTAGCACTACTTTGACACTGTCCAAACACCACTAGAGCAGAGAACTAATTTTTTTGTATCTTACCTAAAGGGAGAAACAGTTCAATGGTGGTGCGGGACTGGTTTTCATGCTCAAACTCTACCCTAGCACAAATTCTACAGATACCTAGGACATAGATTTTCTGAAAGTTCTATATGTGATAATGTCAAACATTTTCATGCTTTGCTGCAACAGGGAACTGTGGGCAGTATATTGAGAAATTTGGAAGAGCTTTGAGTTTAATGAGAAGAGACAATCCAAGCCTACCAAATGATCACTACACCAACAACTCCATTGTAGGCTTGTTTGACTACATACAAGCACACCCATAGTGTAACAAACCTAAATACCTCCAAGATGATATATGGATGGCTAGAAGACTAGAGCAGACAACCAGTATTAAAATGCCTGTTTTTATGCCAATGTCTGTGAGGAGGCAATTCAACTTTGACGTACCAAAGCCTCCAGTAACCTTGCCACCTAATCAATCTCTAATACAACAAGCCGGGCAGAAAAGATATATTTCAAATGCAAGGAACCATGGGTTCGAGGACAAAGAAAACTTTGTAATCAATTAAAAGTAACAAGTGCATGCCCTGCCATCCAAACACTGAACCAACTGAAATCATTTACATAATTGACAGTGAAGAAAACCTGGCTGAATTTCAAGCCCACTAGGGAGAAGAGGAATTCATTCAGTCATGGGTATTGGTGCAACTAAGAACACATTTATAGTCAATATTCAGTTAGCACCTACCCTAAAAACATTCATTAGGACCAGTGCAAGACACTGGATTTAGTGATAGTGGCATCACATCCACTTTCATGTCCCCTGGGCTTGCTAATCTCATTTCTGGTTACTCCTACAGTGAAAGCGAAAGTACTAGTCGCAAATAGTGGGACATTCTGAACATAATTTGCTTGCAAATCACGCTCATACAAAATTCAAGGGATTTTTTACACAGATGACTTCAGAGTGATTTCAACCACCACTTTGCCTTCCAACCTCACCCGTTCCCTACTGAAATCTGGATTCTTCCTCAGAGATGATTAAGTTTTGAAGTAGTTTACCTGACAACTTCTACGAAACATTCTCAAATTTTTACCACAACACTGATGCCATATGAGGATCTCATGGCAAATTTCATGTTGTTCAAACTTTGTTTACATTTTGAACAATTAAAATAACAATGACCTCCATGATTGGGGTCGACTCTTTGCACCGTGAAGTGTGGAATTCCTTTACTTTCCTTGGATAAGTCCTAATCATTGACTAAAGACCAGAAATAGAATTTTTTAGCCCAATTTTGCAAAAACAACCATGCACTTGTAGTTCAAAATTGACTTTATGCGCTAAATGCCTAGAAATGTAGTTAATGACTTCAATATAACAAACAGACCCTAAAAATGCCAAATTTTACATGTGTCATGTAATGGTGTATATTGAGCGTAGAAAAAAAATTCAAGGTCAACTGAGGAAGCAACCGGCACTTTGCCTTCAAATCTGGCATGTTCCCTCCTAAAACCTATATTCTTCCTTCGAGATGGTCCGGTTTCTAAGCACTGTAAGTGAATTTTTTTTTGTGAAACCTTCTCAAATTTTTGCCACATAATATTGATACCATATGAGCGCAACATGCCAAGTTTCATGTATTTCAGTCTTTATTTGAATTTCTTGGAATTTAAATAACAATAAATTCTGAGTTCGGATTCAAGTCTTGCCCCTCTGAGATGTAGATTCCCTTTTCTTTTTCTTGGATAAGACCTAGAAATAGAATAAAGACCAAAAATATGATTTTAACCCATTTTTTGAAAACAAATCATGCACTTGCAGTACGAATTTACTTATATGCACTATGACTAACAATGCAGTTAATGACTTAAATATAGCAATGGGCCTAAAAATCACAAATTTTGACATGTGTAATGTCATGGTGTATCTTGAGTCTAGAAAGAGTTTCAAGCTCAGCCGATGAAGTAACCACCACTTTGCCTTCAGACTTGACCCATTCCCTCTAGAAACCTAGATTCTTCCTCGAAGATTGGCCAGCCTCTAAATAGTGTATGGGATGACTTGTGAAATCTTCTCAAATTTCTACCAGAAAATATTGATTCATATGAGGGTACCATGCTAAGTTTCATGTTTTTCAGACTTCATTTGCATTTTTTCAAATTAAAATAGCAATAACATCTATGTTGTGTTGAGTCTTGGGACCCCGAGGTGTGGAATTCATTTCAATTAGGAATGACTGGAATCAGGATCCGAGTATATAACGTGGGTCCTGATCTTACGGCATAACGGTGGTCTGAGGGGGTGTTTGTTTCCAAGGACTTTTTTGTGTAGGGACTAGAAAAAGTCCCTCTTAAAGACTTTTTTACCAAACGGGAGGGACTTTTTAGGGACTAAACTAGGCATTTGGGACTAAATGAAGAAGACTCTTAAGAGAGTCTTTTTGGGACTTTTTGGGACTTTTCCAACAATGCCCCTCCATGCACCCATTGGCCTGCCATCCCATGGTGTTGTTTGATTTTTTTTATATACTAGGGGTAACATGGTCATTTAATAACCTCTAGGAAGGGACAAGAGACTTTTTAGTCTCTGGAAACAAACTGAGAGGGACTTTTTAAGGACTAAAGACTTTTTAGTTGGGACTAGAAAAAGTCTTAGGACTAGAGAAACAAATACCATCTGACTTTCTCTACTCTAGAATCAACAACTTGACCTGTGCGCCCAAATGATCAGCAGGTGCTCGGTGATCACCGCCAATATGTGATTTTATATATAGTCGTACATACGCGCGTAAACCGGCCAGGCCTGCATTCCTCCATGATTCCCTCCGTAGCCATGTGAGCTTGTAGTCCTAAACACGCCATACGCGTAGTCCTAAATGGCCTGGCAATGGCATCCCGTCCAGCCATCACAAGATCACAACACAAACAAACAAACAAACAGGAGTAGTACAAGTGTGTAGTGCCAATATGGCTGACGCCTCCACCAACGACATTGCCATTGTGCTTGTGGCACTTCTCTCCGTGCTCGTCACGTCCGTCCGTTCTGCGGCCAACTACGACACCTCCGCCGCTAGATCGTACAACTCCGGCTGGCTCCCCGCGAGGGCCACCTGGTACGGAGCGCCCACCGGCGCCGGCCCCAACGACAACGGTACGCCCATATATACACATTTGCATGCATCACGTACGTAGTGCCAACTTACATAGTAATAATGCTGTTCTCCATTTGGATTTGCAGGCGGTGCTTGCGGCTTCAAGAACGTAAACCAGTACCCCTTCTCCTCCATGACGTCCTGCGGCAACGAGCCTCTGTTCGACGGCGGCGCAGGCTGCGGCAGTTGCTACGAGGTATGTACTTCCTTTGTCTTTGAAAGAGTGTATTTATAATTTTGTTGAAAAGTCAAACTTTTTATTTTTAATCGTATTTATATAATAATACATCAACATTTATGCCATCAAATTAGTAGCAGTAGATTCATGATAAAACATATTTTTTATCATATACCTATTTAGTTTCACAAACATTGATGTATTTTTACACAAACTCGATCAAACTTTGAGTAGTTTAACCCTTCAACAAAGTTAGAGGCACACTCTTTCAAGGACGGAAGGAATACACACATGACACCAGACAGTGTCAGTTAAATTAGTTGGTCAAGCTCAAACCTACCATGTGCATGCAAAGATGCATCCATCGGGGACGCTGACCTTTAATTTGGTTTGCTCGGCATGTGTTTCATTCAGATCTGATGCGTTGCCGCCAACAACCCTTCCTGCTCCGGCCAGCCGAGGAGGGTGGTCATCACCGACATGAACTACTACCCCGTGGCCAGGTACCACTTCGACCTCAGTGGCACGGCGTTCGGGGCCATGGCCAAGAACGACCTCAACGACAAGCTCCGCCACACCGGCATCATCGACATGCAGTTCAGGAGGGTGCGATGCAACTTCCCGGGCATGAAGGTCACCTTCCACGTCCAGGTGGCTCCAACCCCAACTACCTCGCGGTGCTCGTGGAGTACGCCAACGTCGACGGCACCGTGGTCCGCATGGAGCTGATGCAGACCAGGAACGGCCGCCCCACGGGGTCCTGGGAGCCGATGCGCCGCTCCTGGGGATCCATCTGGCGGATGGACACCAGCCGCCCGCTGCAGGGGCCCTTCTCCATGCGCATCACCAGCGACTCCGGGAAGACGCTGGTGGCCAACAATGTCATCCCGGCCTACTGGCGGCCGGACAAAGCCTACGGGTCCAACGTCCAGTTCTATTGATTTTGGCTCAATCAATTAGGTGCTTCTCCGATGGATTCCGGTCGAATTGGTGCTCCCGGATTTCTCTTCTCACCAAACGCTACCTATTGTTCATTGTGAGTGATAAGAACTTGTATAATGCAAAGTCTTTAGCAAGGTATATTTGTAAAAAAGGAACCGGTAATTTCTTAAGTATCAGTGTTTATTTGTACTAGCACATAGGCCCGTGCGTTGCGACGGGGAAAGCAAATCGTCGCATGCTCCAAGCGACCCACCCGTCTTACTACTCTCTTCGCCACCATGGTCATATTCTCCACCTATTCACGACAAACGAGATAAAATTGATTTCGCAAGCCCCTCTAGTAGCAATTGATCTTGTTTCCCACACTCTCCTTCTAAAAAACAGAATACATGTAAACTGATAAATATGTACCTAATAGTTTGTTGCAATTAACAAGCCAAATTATGTGGTCTATGCTAGCTAAAATTTGGCTATACTAGGTAATTGCCCGTGCGTTGCAACGGGGCATATATATTCGAATGGTTCAACATCAATTATGTACATTTACCTTTAAAATCTTCATGCCCAGTTATGTACATCAATTATGTACATTTACCTTTAAAATCTTCATATATACCTTTACAAACTGAATCTGTGAGACTGTGACCATCTCGTTTATAATTTCATAAGTTTCAACAGTAGTGATCTTAAAGAGTGTTATATGAAATTCCAAATGGTTGGTGTAATGGTGTTAAATGCTTTCGCACTACTTGGGCACCCATGTAGAAGTTATTCTATCTAGTAAGGTGCTACTTACTTGAACTATATAAAGGAATCGTCGACATTGACCACATGGCATTTCGATTTGGCTCATAACATAGGAGAAGCAAACCTGTACAACGTCAATTAGGATATCACAAAGAAGTTCAGCTGGTCAGGAACCAAATGTTCAGACTCTGCTTGCTTTTGGGGGTTGCTTTTGCCTCCTTGCTCTTGCATGGAACAAAATCACAACTCATTACTTTCTATGCAACAAATAATACTAACCATGGAAACAACATCAAAATAATATTAACCACGGAAATCAATCAAGAAACACACAAACAAATGGGCATGTTTGAAGAAGAAAAAGTTCTTGCTGTCGGCACATTAAAAACAACAACAACAATTTGATGACACAAACTGAAGGTATGTATATGTTCATCTAGGCAATGAGGAGGTCAATGGCGTGAGGAGGAGTAAGCCCGAACAGGAGGCCAAGTGTGGCATGGCATCTGAGCCAAGTTCTCATCGACAGGTATGAGCTGCGACTGCATGGAGCGACAATCAAGATCATGGCGGCAGAGGGGTGGTGGGAAGAATACGATCTCGTGTACCTGAGTTTCCTGGGCGGCCGTTGGACGTATCCGATGGCTGGTTTAGCTAGCTAGCTTTCCTACGTGAACTCCAAAGATCGATCCAGTAGCTTGGTTTGGCGTAAGCATTGTACGTGCGCGTACCCGCCGGAAGAAGTCGGCGGCGGGCAGCGTCATGAAGGTCGAGGCTGTGCTAACATCCGGCAAAGAATTGGAGCGCACGATCAAAGGTCCAGCCGCAGGAAGATGTTGCCGTCCTGGAACTCTCCACATGGCCTTTGCGCTTCTAGGGGAGGGTGACTCCAGATCTATGCGGCAGGAGTTAGCTAGGCTAGACGACGGCGACGGGAAACCCTAGTATGGCTCACCCAACCCAAGGCAATCGGGGAGACAAATTAGAGCGTAATTTAAGGCTGGTTTTATAGAAAACATGTGAAAGGAAAACCAGAGATGGAAGGGGTGAAAAAAACCGTAGGGGTGCGGGGGGCGGGGATATCGAAGGAGGTCGGACAAAGCCTGCGACGTAAAAGAGGAAACGAAACGTTCCGTTTCTTTTAGGTAGTAGAGATTGTAGCACATAAGCTTACTTAGACACCACTGTTATCTGAAAAAGAATCGGGGCTTAAGGAAAACCAGTTTGTATTTGCAAGCTCCTCTACATGGTCCAGATATTGCTAGCTAGCTGGATGATCAACATTGTCCGGCCAATGCATGTTGCCGGGCTCTTTTCTAGCTCACTACCCCGTGGATTAGAGCTGCGCAAGACCGAGTAGTATGTCGGTTTTCTACCTTTGTTTCTATTTATTTTTCTCTTTTTGTTTTTTATTTATTTTTGTTTCTTTTCTAAAATTACATGGATACTATTTTTAAATCCTGATTTATGAAAATAACACACACATTTTATGCATTTAATTAAACATGACGAAAACAATTTAATTATGCCTTTTTGCATAGAACACCAGGATATCACCAAACTTCACAAGTGAGTAGAATACTCGACCATTTTTTCTAAGAAAAAAACCAGAAATATTTGTATTTGCTATTTTTTTTAGTTTTCCTATTCATTCGGGTGTATGTGGATCCATGTTCACCGTTGTATTTCGTTATGTTTCACTGACACCGGTCTTCTCAAAAGTTTACTCACGTGATCGGTGCCCTTGCACTCCCCAACAAAGAAGTTAGCAGGTCGTCGAGAAGTCCAAGCCAAGCAGAACACATGCTACTCTGACACAAATTACATCAGAGCCACAAAGACCGACAAGGCATGATGACAAGGGCAGGCATGCCTAGCGCAAAAGCTATGTCCTGAGCATCGTGTGTTTCTATGAGGGCACGGGCTCCGTCGCCAACCACCCGCACACCTCTGTCATCATGCATGGTGAACGTGAAGAGAATCTGACCACCTGACCTGACTAGAGGTATCTTATGATGTAAGTCGCGGGAGTAATTAATCAGGAGCCATCCGAGGCCTTGCGAATTAGCAGGGCACACATTGCCATAGTTAGACTGGCCACACTAGTAGGCCACATAGTGTACTTTTACTATTGGCATCTTGTAACTTTGTTTTTTCTCCACTGAGATTAATAATATCCATGTTTTCCTATCAACTTTATTTGTGTAATACGGTATACTGGCATGCCAACATATTTTTTTTCCTTTCCTTCAGCCCATGGCAGAAATACACTCCTCCTCTTCCCTTCTCTCCGAGTTGTTTTTTCTCTCATCTATAAAAGAAGCAATTCACAGGGTATGTGATCAAAAGCTATTGCGACATTAATGTTTAGCGTGAGGGCCGATGATTTATTCGCTTTAAGAGTCACACACATGAAGTTTTTTATGGATTGATCTTTTCTTGATAAAGACACTCTGGCATGGCGAGATGAACTCATTCATCTCGGGTTGCAATCGGCGTGCAAGGAATATTGGAGGTGAGTTTAGCAATACTAGAAACGAGGCTTATGCGCCAAAAATCAAATAGATGTTAGATTATTTGCATAGGGTAGTATGTGATTACATCTGAACACATAATCACATAAAAAGAGAGGGTTTTGGGATTCTTTACTTGTGATAGAAGTTCACATGGTCGCCTACTCGATGTAGGCGAGATGAAGGGATGATGTAGTCGATGTAGACGACCTCCTGGAGTCCTGATCCCCTCAGGCCGCCACTGGCACTGTCCTGTGACGGCGGTGAGATGGCTAGATTTTCCCGTTGATGCAGCACAACCTTTGATTGGTTAAGGTTTTGGAATATGGGGAGAAGAGTGAACCTGACACGAATGAATGACCGCACAGAGGCCCAGCTCTCTCCCATATCCCTTTTATATAGCTCCGTGCAACAGGGGACCTAAACCATGAGTTGGTTTGGATGCCCCCGATCAGGGCGCATTAGTTAGAGATGAGGTGCACGTACATTGGTGTGTGGGGTCCTCTCTTAACGTTATTTTCTTCCATGTTAGGTCGTTAGATCAAAATGGCATGTTAAGTCGTTAGATCAAACCAGCAGCCCCCCCCGATCGTTAGGAACTACATTTTCCCCTTCTCCGTAGGAATGATATACCAAAGTGAGGTGTGACAACAGCTAGCAAAATGCCACAGAACCTCAACACTTATAGCATAACAACCTATTTCAAAATGGAAAACATTTTGCTTATTGGGAGTGGTTTTTTTTTGTTGTCCTTTATTCTAGAATCATAAGACTTCAAGTAGTCCCATGTCAGTAACATGCACGAAAATTATTGGGTGGTACCCTTCAGTTCACGGATCGGCAAGCATATGTGTCATTCTTATATGTTTAACATTAATTGTTTGATACTGAATTCTATCTTTCACAACATGAAACTTGATATTAATGTGTTTGGTAGCGTCACTTGACTTGTTGTTACTTGTATAGAAAACTATGGGTTCATTATCACAATACAATACAATTGGTTTAGATATGTTGTCAACCACTTTAAGCCCGGGAATAAAGATCTTTAGCCATATAGCCTGCCCGATGGCCTCAAAACATGTGTTTGCATCATAGACACAACAATGAACGTGTGTTTGGATATTTT